AGTAGACAACTGTTAGGACCTGACTCTTTGTCATCGGGCGTGGCACGGTTGTGGCAAGGATTTGGGCGTGATGGCCTTGTCATTGGCCTATGTGCGGGCAAAACGATCATGCGGGCGACGGACAAGACATTGTCATTGAGGGCTGTTGTGGGCAAGTATTGGCCGAGGCCTTGGGACAGGCAAGGCGTGCTTGGCAAAGGCTTGACAAAGCTGCGTGGGCAATATTAGGGCGGCATGGCACGGCATGCGCGCCAAAATCAGTGGCATGACACTTTGGGTTGTGGCAGCTAAGTGCGGGCTAAGCTAAGGCAAAACGGAAATGCGGGATGATGGCAAAGGCTTTCAATAGCTAAGGCAAGGCTATGTGAAGGAAAATACAAGCAATGGCACGAGGGAAATGAAGGTTGACATGGACAAGGTAGAAACTAGGCCAAGGCAGTGCGCGGGCGGCAGCGGCGTCGGGCGTGTGCGGCAAAATCATGGCAGCAGGTTGCGGGCAAGACATTGGCGCGGAGCAATGTCAAATTGAGCTAAGGCTTGGCACAAAGCAATCCTTGGGCGTGATTCAGCTGGCCAAGTGAAGATGGCACATGCAATGCACATGAAAAGCAGTTTTGGCGGTTACCTTGTCATAATCTCTTTGTCCCATGACTGATTATGCTTGTATCCATTATCCATTTCGTGTATATCATGTCCTAAGTAGTTGGGGATGTCAACTACATGTTAGAATCAGATTTAGACTTAGCCCGACAAGTGGCAAAAGCTGTAGACGACAAGTGTCATTGTGTTGTCAAGTCTAAGGGCTGCCTATATTCTATAAATAGGGCCTTTGGACTTAGTCAGATATATGTGGGTAATTTCGTGTGAAATTATAAGTGAGAAACAAGAGTGAAACGTGAGGGTTTCAAAGTGTTTCAAAGGGGACTAAGGCTAGGCTTGGGCAGGTCTTAGTATTGGCCAAGAACGACTTGTGTTCTTTGTCAAAAGCGGGCTGTGAACGACTTGTGTTCATAGCGAAGTGAGGGTTCCTTTGTATATTTTCGAAATTAATACAAGGGTTGGGAATTTTTCCGTATTGGCTTTGTGTTCTTACTGATTTTACAATTTGCTGCCTAAAATTTTATTAAGGCCAAACTTGCTGAAATTTGGCTAAGTGCTAAGGAAGGCTGAGTCAAGTGCGGAACTTGACTGCCGCGCGGGTGTGACTTTGGACTGACCAAAAATGCCCCCGTGACAACTGGTATCAGAGCGGAGCAGGTGCGTGGCAATGGCAAGATGACCGGTGGCAGATTTCGTGGTGCTATTTGAGAACATGGCTGGTGGCACAAATGCTGAACTGCGTCAAAGGGTTGAGCAGTTGGAAGCACTGGTTGGGCAGGCTCATGAAATAGGTGGCGATTCTTCTGTTCTTGCTAGAATTTGGAGGCAGATTTTGCGGCGAGGCATGAAACTACGCTAGCAGAAATGGCCTTGGTACGCCAAGAGAAGAAAGAACTACGCGAGGAGGTTGCTGAACTTCGAAGGGCATTGCAAAATTCTGCCCCTAGAAGTGATGAACGCACTAAGTTGAGGATTCCGGAGCCAAAGGCTTATGGTGGTGCTAGAAGTGCCAAAGAATTGGAAAATTTCTTGTGGGATATGGAGCAGTATTTCCAAGTTGCTCGTGTGCCGGATGATGAAAAGGTGGTGATCACACCAATGTACTTGACTGATGATGCAAAGTGTGGTGGCGTACACGAGTTGCGGATGGGGAAAGTGCTGGACTGCCCAAGATTGAGACTTGGGAGATGCTGATGAAGGAATTAAAATCCCAATTCCTTCCAACTAACTCGCCGTGGGTTACACGAGATGGACTGCGTCGCTTGAAACAAAGTGCCACGGTGAGGGAGTATGTCAAGGAATTTTCGTCCTTGATGCTGAATGTAAGTAATATGGCAGAGGAAGACAAGCTGCATTACTTTATGAGTGGATTGAAGGGCTGGGCGCGATTGGAGTTGAGAAGGCAGAATGTTCAAAGCCTCTCTACTGCCATTGCAGCGGCAGATGCGTTGGCGGACCTAAACATAGGTGATGACCCTGCTGAAACTTCGCATTCAAAATCCGACGTAAGGAAAGACAAGGCAAGGGAATGGAAGAAAAGCGGGAAGGGCCAAGCTACCGAAGATGAGGGACTTGTCAAGAAAGTGAGACAGGAAATTCACAATGGCAAGGAAAGGAGCGGCAAGTTCAAAGGCTGCTTTACTTGTGGTGGACAAAGAAGGACTGTCCGGTGCAGGCTAGGGTGAATGCAATGCTAGCTGCGGAAAAACAGGAACAAGTGGCGGAGGCAAATGCTATAGTGGTAGATGTGAATGGAGCACCCGGGGCGTTGTATGTCAACAACCCCTTGGGGTTGATTAATTGAGTTGGCTCGACGAGGACGTCGATTTCAAAGGGTGTGGGTGGTTTGCTAGACCCTAACGCTTTGTCATCGGGCGTGGCACGGTTGTGGCAAGGATTTGGGCGTGATGGCCTTATCATTAGCCTATGTGCGGGCAAACGAAAATGCGGGCGACGGACAAGACATTGTCATTGAGGGTTGTTGTGGGCAAGTATTGGCCAAGGCCTTGGGACAGGCAAGGCGCGCTTGGCAAAGGCTTGACAAGGCTGCGTGGGCAAAGATTGGGCGGCATGGCACGGCATGCGCGCCAAAATCAGTGGCACAACACTTTGGGTTGTGGCAGCTAAGTGCGGGCTAAGCTAAGGCAAGGCGGAAATGCGGGATGATGGCAATGGCTTTCAATAGCTAAGGCAGGGCTATGTGAAGGAAAATACAAGCAATGGCACGAGGGAAATGAAGGTTGACATGGACAAGGCAGAAACTAGACCAGGGCGGTGCGCGCGACGCCGGGCGTGTGCGACAAAATCATGGCAGCAGGTTGCGGGCAAGGCATTGGCGCGGAGCAATGTCAAATTGAGCTAAGGCTTGGCACAAAGCAAGCCTTGGGCGTGATTCAGCTGGCCAAGTGAAGATGGCACATGCAATGCACATGAAAAACAGTTTTGGCGGTTACCTTGTCATAACCTCTTTGTCCCATGACTGATTATGCTTGTATCCACTATCCATTTCGTGTATATCATGTCCTAAGTAGTTGGGGATGTCAACTACATGTTAGGATCAGATTTAGACTTATCCCGACAAGTGGCAAAAGCTGTAGACGACAAGTGTCCTTGTGCTGTCAAGTCTAAGGGCTGCCTATATTCTATAAATAGGGCCTTTGGACTTAGTCAGATTTATGTGGGTAATTTCGTATGAAATTATAAGTGGGAAACAAGAGTGAAACGTGAGGGTTTCAAAGTGTTTCAAAGGGGACTAAGACTAGGCTTGGGCAGGTCTTAGTGTTGGCCAAGAACGACTTGTGTTCTTTGTCAAAAGTGGGCTGTGAACGACTTGTGTTCATAGCGAAGTAAGGGTTCCTTTGTATATTTTCGAAATTAATACAAAGGTTGGGAATTTTCCCGTATTGGCTTTGTGTTCTTACTGATTTTACGATTTGCTGCCTAAAATTTTATTAAGGCCAAACTTGCTGAGTTTTGGCTAAGGGCTAAGGAAGGCTGAGTCAAGTGCAGAACTTGACTGTCGCGCGGGTGTGACTTTGGTCTGACCAAAAACGCCCCCGTGACAACAGCCATGGTCGATACAGGCTAATTTGGAGGTTATTGATAACTATGTCACTAATGATCCGAGAGAGAAGGAGAATAGATATGGGATAGGTATGAGAAATTTAAGGGGATAGGAGAAATTTGAGTGGAGAGAGAAAAATAATACAAAGCTTATTTTATGGCTTTAGGGTAGGATGTGACCATAAATAGATATTGGGCTACAAAAATTCAAAAGGTAACTATGGAATATAATTTTTTAAAAGGGTATTTATTTAAAATAAATAAGGTATCAACCTTTGCTATAGGAGGTAACTAATCCAAAAAGTAAATAATTTGGACCTATATATTAAAAAGTAAATAATTTGGGCTTAATAGGTATAAAGTGTAATTTTCTCTATTTAAATCCCGTCTGTCAAGATATTACACAGATGTTGCTTTCAAAAATTCTATTAAAAGAAATATCAGTGCCGACACTACACACACACAAAAAAAATATCGGTGCCCCACACTCCCACATGATTTTGCACTCTTACTTAGAAATTATTATTACCATAGATGTCTTAAATATATCAACTTTGGAACTAATTTTATTCCAAAGCCTATTATCATATAAGCTATATAGTACAACACACAAAAATTTTAAACTTTTCTTAATAATTATTTACTGAACTTTCTATTTTTATTAGTTGTGTGGAAAAAAAATTGTGTAAAAAGATATGGGATGGAGGGGTGGGAGTAAAACTTGTGCCAACTGCCAATAATCATAACAAAGAAGAGAAAACTGAAAAGCCTACGAATTAAGAACCGTCCACAGGGCGGCAAAGATTCCATAAGCATTCTAGTTTTCCCACTATTTTAAAATCCAGATCACACCCTATTAATCTACTTTAATAGTCATTATTAGTCAATTTTATACACACGAAAAAAAATAGTTTATGAATAAGAAAAGTACTAATTTCAATTCTTTAACAAAATGTTGCACTTTCACCACTAATAAAGAAAGAGAGAAGGAAGAAAGCTTGGCTGGAAAGGCTAAGAAGGGGACCCACCATGCCAACCTTTTATTCCCATGAATTGGACACTTCAGAAAAGTTTCAACTCCAAAAGGGCTCACAAATCTCCATCCCCACCGCCCTAAATGAAAGGAAATAGATTTCCCATTCATAATCTTTAGCCTCCCCCATATGACTAGTCAGTCCAAAAGATTGGTGGGATTGTGAGCAACTTGAACAAGGCAAAATGTAAGGGACCCCCAACCGTTTGAGTTTTTCTTTTACATTGTCGTCAGGTCATGTAAAAAAGATAACTACGAGTAATTATTCATAACAAGTGAAATTAGTAGCCTAAAGCAAGATAAGTGTTGCAACATGTTAAAAAATTTTAGAATGTCAAATTATGTAAGTTAAATCCAGTTAGTTTCCAGGTGTTCCACTGGCAGCTAGCTATTTTTCTAACTTCTGTACATCTCTTTCTACAACTACAATCCCCATGCTGGTCCTTTTTGCCTTTCAGTATGACCCATGACTGGCATTTCAAGAATTCCCCATTTCAACTCCTTTCCTATTCTAAAAGCCAAAATCACTGCAAAAATTCTGGAAGCCAGTGATGTAAAGCTGAAACTTTTGGAAAATCTTGAAATCAATAGTAGATCAAAATGGGAGAAGAAAATCAGAGTATGGTGAGCACAACATAAATTCTTAAAATATTATCAAGAATACTGGGAGAATCTTAAAAGTCTTTTAACATAGTAATACCTGCCTGCATCCTGGTGCTGAATTTGATAGAAACCCCAGCCTGAAAAAAAAAAAAGAGAAGAGAACAGGTGAAAGTAGCTCAGTTAAGATGGGGGTAGCAAAGGCAGTAAGTGGGGCATTTTTCTGTAGCGAATTTAGATCTAATCATCTTTAACCCCCATTGATTTAAGAGAAAGTAAAGCCAACAATTATGCAAAAAGACACCACCTTCACTCACATATTAACTATACATTAATCAGACCTGGTCCAACCCACAACTCTTTGGTAATGCACAGCATCATGACAAACACCCTGGCTTTTCAGTGCATAGCACAAGTTATAGATAGAGAATAAAATCTTTAAATAAAAACTATGATCTATTTTATTAAGGTATTTGAAAATGATTTTGCCTGTAAATTTAAGCAATGTATTTGTACAAATAGCCAACCCAAAAGTAGCAGAAGTTTCTGTATCTCAAAGCTGTACAGGTGCCAAGTCAGCATCCTATGTGGACTTGGTAGAATAAAAGGTGACATGATGTGGGGGAGGGGTGGTGGTGAGGGGTGACTGCTCTGCCTTTTGCTTTTGAGTTACCACCATCTTCATTACCTCTGCTTTTAGCCTGCCTTTGAAACATTCTTTTTCAACATTCTTTTTTTTTTTTACTTTTCTATTTCTACATTCATCCATTTATCATTTCCTTAAGAACACCACATTCTCTCTCAAATTCATTTCTTCCCTTCGTCCTTTTCCCCTCAAAATATCAATTCATCAATCTCTTATAACAATTCTCTTTTGAGTTCCATGATCAGATAGTCTAAAGTACTGCCATGGTAAGACTTCTCTATGATCGATATCTTATGTTCTTCTGTTTCAATTGATGAAGGAAAATATTGAATTTTATCTTTTGTGATTCAGGGAACTCCTGTAAACATCATAGTTGGATCCCAAGTGTGGATTGAGGATCCTGATGATGCTTGGATTGATGGAGAAGTTACAGAAATTAAGGGCTCAAATGCTACAGTAGTCACAACTACTGGGAGGAAGGTAAGCAGTCTTACTCTAATCAATAAGTTCAGAACCTCACAGAAATCAGATATTGGTAGCATCTTTCAGAGAATATATTATGATTGCAAAAGATGCTGTCTGAGCAATGTTACAGTGTCAAATCAAAGTTGTAATGCATATTATATGAAAATTAGGAGCTTATTAGCTTTTATAAACTTATTGAAACACATAGTCTAGGACAGAAGCAAATGGGATCGGTCATGGAACAAATAGGACGATAATAGTTTAATATAACCAATTAGATAGAAGACATCAATATACCTGTAGGACAGTTTGTGCAGCTTTTCCTTTTGCCTTAAATTGAACTATTATTGATTTTCATGATAGGTATACTCTACCATGAACATTTACGAATGTGCTCTGTTGATATTTTTAGGATGCAATAAACATAATTTCTACAAACTAATGTTCTTAACATGTGAACAGCCAACATTTATTTATATTAAGCCATAACACTACTTTCTGCTCCAGACAGTTGCTCCTATTTCTAGCATATACCCAAAGGACACCGAAGCACCACCAGCAGGTGTTGATGACATGACCAAGTTAGCTTACCTACATGAGCCTGGGGTTCTAAATAACCTTGCTTGTCGGTATGCTCTAAATGAGATATATGTAAGTCATACTTTTTCATTCAATCGTGAACTTTACAGGAGTAGCTGCAGAAAGCAAGACTTATCGATGTAAAAAACATCCCAAATTTGCAGACTTACACAGGGAATATCCTAATTGCGGTGAATCCATTTCGGAGACTTCCACATCTGTATGATATCCATATGATGCAGCAGTACAAGGGAGCCCCATTTGGAGAGCTAAGTCCGCATCTTTTTGCAGTGGCAGATGCCTGTTATAGGTATATCAGAAGTTCAACTGAAATTATTAGGTTATACCACACATTAAATGAATGACTTGCCAAATTTAACAAGTTTAAACTGCACATATCAGGGCATTGATAAATGAACATGGGAGCCAATCTATCTTGGTCAGTGGAGAGAGTGGAGCTGGCAAAACTGAGACAACGAAAATGTTAATGAGGTATCTCGCATTCATGGGTGGGCGGTCTGGAACTGAAGGAAGAACAGTCGAGCAACAAGTTTTGGAGGTGGGCACTAATTACTATTTGCTACTTATTATACTTAATGGTCTACTACTAGAGTTCAATGCAAGCTCATAATTCTGCTTTTCCAGTCCAACCCAGTATTAGAAGCATTTGGAAATGCAAAGACCGTGAAGAACAACAATTCCAGGTAAACCAAAAAATGACATTAAAGGTTTATCACTATTATTTTTTGGTTTTCTTTTCATATTTTTCCCTTACAAGAAATTGACATGACTGAGTCGTCGTACCAGTCGTTTTGGTAAATTTGTTGAAATTCAGTTCGATAAGCATGGGAAGATCTCTGGGGCTGCAGTTAGGACATATCTTCTTGAACGGTCACGGGTTTGCCAAGTCTCAGACCCAGAGAGAAACTACCATTGTTTTTACATGCTTTGTGCTGCACCACCAGAGGTGAGTTCCATGGGTCAGCCCATTTGCAAATTCTTCACAAATGATATTGAGCTGCCACCTAGATGATCTACGGAATCTTTTACAGGATGTGAAAAGATACAAACTTGGAGATCCAAGATCATTTCATTATCTAAACCAAACTAACTGTTACGAAGTTGCAAATGTTGACGATGCAAGAGAGTATCTTGAAACGAGAAATGCTATGGATGTTGTTGGAATCGGTCCGGAGGAACAGGTGTGTGCCCAGAACACAGAAGCAATTGGAAAAATCATATGATGCACCTAGAATATATTTTAAAAAATTACTCATCATTTCTGTAGGATGCTATATTCCGTGTTGTAGCTGCAATACTCCATCTTGGAAACATCAACTTTGTGAAAGGAAAGGAGTTTGATTCCTCCAAACTGAAAGATGACAAGTCACTTTTTCATCTGAAGACAGCTGCAGAGCTATTCATGTAAGAACTAGGAGGAATATACATAAGATTTACCTCAACTCAGAACTCAAGGCACTTATACTTTCAATTATACACGTGCACAGGTGTGACGAGAAGGCACTAGAAGACTCACTATGTAAGCGTGTCATTGTAACTCCTGATGGAAACATCACAAAACTATTGGATCCAGCAGCTGCAACCACAAGCAGGGATGCCCTGGCAAAGACTGTATACTCCAGATTGTTCGACTGGTAAGCAAATTTATAGAATGTGGATCCCAGAGTAAGCCTCTCCCTGGCTGCAAAACTGTCTCGTGAGAGGGGAATCTTAATACTTACAAAGCAAAAGATTACTTTCTCGACTGAAAATGATTGGAGACTTACAGCATTAATAGCTAGGAAGAGCAAAATTTACAAGTGCATTGCGAAAAGGAAAAAAAAAAGAACTACCGCTAATCTGATAGACAGTATCATTTGCTGCACTGGACTGTGACTTCATATATGTTGCAACTTCTTCTTAATGAAGCTCTAAATGATCATAGGATGCCACAAAAGATACATAATTATACCAAAATACTCAAATTCTAAATTCTTGTCACTATAATTCTGATTATAAACTGGAGTAATAAATAACTGGGGCTTCTCATAAAGAACAGAAGAGATTCAAAGAGTAGAAGAGTGATCAAACAGGACTTAAAGATCATGGAGAATTTTCTAGCTGAATTTTTTTATTGAGATTGAAGATGTTATAAATGTTTCAAGCCTGGTTTCCGATTTTAGTTTCACATTTTGAAACCAACCAAATGTAGTGCTTTGTATCCTGTTGACATGCAGATATTCAATCTCTAGACAAATGATGGCTGCTTGCTACGGAGAGTCAGCATCATATTAGTCTAAAAAGGATATATTCGAGTAGATTAGCATTATCCAGCATAAGACTAGATTCAACTACACAAAAAATAACATTCAAAATAAAATCCTTTTGACAGCTTCTATGTGGCAGGCTTGTGGACAAGATAAACAGTTCAATTGGACAAGATCCTGATGCAAAAAGCATAATTGGCGTCCTTGATATATATGGCTTTGAGAGCTTCAAAATCAACAGGTTTGGATAATTGTTTTTGCAAATTTTGAGTATATAAAATCTTTACCTCAAAATTAACAGCTCGTTACATGCTTTACCTCAGTTTTGAGCAATTCTGCATCAACCTAACAAATGAGAAGTTGCAGCAGCACTTTAACCAGGTAATGCATGAGAACCTTTATTCACTCTTCAGTGCCTTAATTTTTCAGTCCCACTCAGAAAAGTGGAATATTAAATAGAACCACTGTTTTTACAGCACGTATTCAAGATGGAACAAGATGATTATACGACAGAAGAAATCAACTGGAGTTATGTGGAGTTTGTAGATAACCAAGATGTTTTAGATCTTATTGAGAAGGTACCCTCATTCTGACAACATACATTTTTTCACTTTATTTTAATTCAACAAGCAAAACTTTCGATGATTTTGCATCATATGTGCAGAAACCTGGAGGCATTATTGCTCTTCTTGATGAAGCTTGGTAAGCAAACTTCCTCCTTTCAACACCATAACTACCTGTGGAAGTATAATTTGCTAGACACAGTAATTAAATTCTCAAAACAGTGTATAACATCTTTTCCTGAATTATGAATAATGACTAAAGGAGAAGATATAACTCAATTTATTTCTTGCACAGTATGTTCCCAAAATCAACTCATGAGACATTTGCCCAAAAGATGTACCAGACATACAAAGCCCATAAACGGTTTAGCAAGCCAAAACTTGCTCGTACTGCATTTACAATCAATCATTACGCTGGTGATGTATGTACAACTTGATACTTCGTCATTCAATTGTCAGTCAAAGAATCTTGGTCATCTTAATTCTTGGATCAAACAGGTTACTTACCAAGCAGATCACTTCCTTGACAAAAACAAGGACTATGTGATAGCAGAATTTCAAGCTCTTCTGATGGACTCTAAGTGCTCTTTCGTTGCAAACCTCTTCCCTCCATTGCCTGAAGAATCGTCCAAGCAGTCCAAGTTCTCTTCCATTGGCACGCGGTTTAAGGTAAGCCTATCAACAGGACAGAAATAAGTATATTTATTTAAGAAAATCCTATGAACCTGATTTATTTTCAAAACAAACTTCAATGTACAGCAACAATTGCAATCTTTAATGGAGACCTTGAGCACTACAGAGCCACACTACATCAGATGTGTGAAGCCCAATACAGTTCTAAAGCCAGGAATATTTGAGAACATGAATGTATTAAACCAATTAAGATGTGGGGTAAGTTAAACTCTTCCATATCCTTTTTGGTGCTTTCATTATCTACTCTTAATCAGAAAATATGTGATTCTTCATAGTTCTCTCCCTCCCTCCCTCCCTCCCTCTCTCTCTCTCTTTCTCACAAACCTTTAGTGAAACTTT